GAATCATCGCAAGGTGAAAGCCCGAGATGGTGCCTCTTCTAGTGGGACCAAAGTTGATCCCGCTAAGCCCTGCTCCAACCCGAAGGAGGCAGAGTGCCACCACTGGCACAAGATAGGACATTGGAAGAGAAGCTGCCCGGAATACCTGCAAGCCATCAAGGAAGGAAAGATCAAGCCATCTTTCGCAGGTATATATACAATTAAATCTAATGATTCCCACAATACTTCTTGGGTTCTTGATACCGGTTGTGGTTACCACATTTGTTCTAATGTACAGGGACTAAGAAGAAGTAGAGACGTGGAGCTTGGAAGAATAAATCTAATCATGGGGAACAAAAGATCGTCGTCTGTAACCAAGATTGGAGTGTATTCTTTAGTGCTTAGGAATAGTTTATCTTTAGATTTGAACAATTGTTGCTATTCGCCAGAAATGGCTAGAAACATCATTTCTTTTCATGGTTTGTTTAGACAAGGTTTTAGATTTTCTTTTAATAATGAGAATGGTTCTATTTTAGCTTATCTAAATGGTGTCTTTTACTTTGAAGTTATACCATGTGATGGAATTTATGAAATTGTTATGATTGTTGATAACTTAGGAAATGATGTTTTGTACTTGGATAGTATGGATAAGGCATCCTTATGGCATTGTCGTCTTGGACATGTCAACAAGAAACGCATAGCCCAACTCCAAAAGGATGGAGTGTTGGAATCATTCGACCTTAGGGAAGATGACACATGCGAGTCTTGTTTACTTGGAAAGATGACTAAGTCACCCTTCGCTAGTACGTGCGAAAGGGGTGAGGGTCTATTGGACCTCATACATACCGATGTGTGTGGACCGTTTAGATCTACCACGAAGGATGGTAACCGCTTCTACGTGACTTTTACCGATGACTATAGTAGATATGGGTATATCTACTTAATCAAGCAAAAGTCAGAAACTTTTGAAAAGTTCAAAGAGTTCAAGAATGAAGTGGAGAATCAATTAAGCAGAAAGATCAAGATGCTTCGATCCGATCGAGGAGGAGAGTACCTAAGTCTTGAATTCCACGATTATCTCAAGGAGTGTGGAATAGTTTCACAATTGACGCCACCTAGGACACCACAATTGAATGGTGTGGCAGAAAGGCGTAATCGAACCTTGTTGGACATGGTTCACTTTATGATGAGTCATGCTTCGCTATCTATCTCTTTTGGGGGTATGCCTTAGAGACTGCCGCCCATATCCTTAACCGAGTCCATACTAAGAAGGTTGCCAAAACACCTCACGAGATGTGGACGGGGAAAGCTCCTTAGTTAGCACATATCAAGGTTTGGGGGTGCGAGGCTTTCGTAAGACGAGATACTCACGACAAGCTCGAACCTCGTAGTGAGTGATGTTTTTTCATCGGCTACCCGCAGAAATCCTTTTGGATATCTCTTCTATAGACCGAAGGAAAATGTTGTCTTTGTTGCGAGAAGAGGAGTTTTCCGAGAGCGAGAACTCATAGGCCAAGGAGACAGTGGGAGGCAAATCGATCTTGAAGAGATTCAAGAATCGATAGATGAAGGAACCTCAACCGCTGGTGCTCAACCCGAGGAGGAAACTCCGGTTGAACCGATTGACATATCATTACCTCTTAGACGTTCCGAAAGAGTTAGGTTTGAACCCCAGTTATATGGTTTTCATATTACTACCGAAGGCGACACATATATTAGTGATAGTACACTAATAAATCTTGATGAACCTAATAGCTATAAGGAAGCCATGGCAGGCCCGGAGTTTGCGAAATGGAAAGAGGCAATGGATAGCGAGATCCAATCCATGTATGATAACCAAGTTTGGAATTTGGTTGATAATGTGCACGGACGTAAGACCGTTGGGTGCAAATGGATCTTCAAGAAAAAGACCGACGTGGATGGAAAGGTACACACGTATAAAGCGCGATTAGTTGCGAAGGGCTTTACTCAAACTCCCGGAGTTGACTATGAAGAGACCTTCTCACCAGTTGCGAAGATAAAATCTATTAGAGTGATGCTAGCTATTGTCGCATTTCATGATTATGAGATTTGGCAAATGGATGTCAAGACCGCTTTCCTTAACGGAAAGTTGGCTGAGGATGTTTACATGGCTCAGCCAGAGGAGTTTGTGGATCCGAAGCATCCGAATAGAGTGTGTAAGCTTGAGAAGTCCATTTATGGACTAAAGCAAGCGTCTCGCATTGCAGAAAAACATCCTTCATTGGTTGCGGTTGGGGTTTTTTCCTCCACCACTTTCTTCACTACTACCAACATCCAATGTTCTTTTAAAAAAAATCTAATTAAACCCTACAAAAATAATTAAAGATTTAAATTAATAGTTGAAGACTTAAACCTAATACAAGTGGACAATTAATTGGCTAATTAGGTTTTCAATTTGAACAAATAAATTAAACTCAACTATAAAACATTAAAGATGAAAAATTAATATATATATATATATATATATATATATATATATATATATATATATATATATATATATATATATATATATATATATATATATATTAAAGAAGTTAAAAGTTACAAATACTAAACTTGTATGTTTTTTTTGTCAACTATATCTTTTATTCTATAATCATTTTAACACTTTTGGTCCTTATAATCAATATTTTTACATTTTTTATGAACATTTTTAATATTTAAAGTTTCGTCACAAAACTTTAAGGAATTGACAACTTTAATCTTTTTTCTAAAAAGTTGCTAATTTCAACTTCTTTAATTCTTTAGCCATTTTGACACTTTTTGTCCTTTCAATCAAATTTTTTATATTTTTCATAAAAAACATAAAAAATGACCCGCAGCAAAGCCCGAGTTTTTCTGCTAAAATAGTCAACAACGAGTTACGAATAGTGAAACTCGCGTTTTTTTTACTGTTTTCATCCTTGCACTTTCTGTGTTTGTCATTTTCTTCTTTTGGTATATTTTTTCTATATTGGTCCTCATATTTAATTTTTTTTGTTTTTTTTTCACCTTGTATATATCCGTCTCCGACTGTTTATCCGTAAGAAAATAATCCAAAGTCAACTAAAAGAGGCAACAACAAGGCCTATTAATCTATAAAAAAACGACACTCAAATCAAACGCACACGGTCCATACGGAACATAATCAACATATGTTGTTAATATTATTTGTGTCATCATTCCGTGAATGAACAAGACAAGACGGCAAGTGAAGAAGGGTAAAGCAAGTAAGCGCCGATCAGAGCATGAGACGAACCAAAAAAAATGTGCATTTCTTTTTTTCCCTTATATGAATATCAATTACTACAATTACAAGTAACAAGCATATGGCCCTCTTTACATATATTTAATGGGCTACTGATTCATTGTTTAATGGGTTCACTGTTGGACTTTTATTGTGAATGTAATTGGAATTTGGATCTTAAACTAGGAGCTAGTCTATAGGTGACCAAAAAAACCGGTTCACAAACCGAACCGGTCAGTGAATCGGAAACCGGTTTACCTCCGAACCTGTTCAGGCATGAACCGAACCCCCGAAGAACCAAACCTCCGGACCGAACCAATTCGCCATTTTGACCGTGTGATCCGGTTTTTTGATCCGATTTTGAACCGGTTTTTTGCATCGAACCGGTTTTGAACCATTCCTATTTTCCACTTATTAGCCCAAAAAAAAAAAAAAAAAAAATTAAAAAACCTTATTTGCGTCGAACCGGTTTTGAACCAGTTTTTTACCGATTTTCTGAACCGGTTTTTTAAACCGGTTTACATATGTTCGGATATTTTTTGGTGTGAACCGGTTTTCTGAACCGGTCCGGTTCATAAAAAAAAACCGGTTTTTGCATGCCTAGGAGCTACCATATTATTCACAGTTGGATTATTTATATATATAAAAAATACTGTTTCTATGAATTAATTAAGTGCTACCCCTACCAACTAACTCATTCCGTCATTATGTTTGGCCAGGTTTAAAAAAGAAGTTTTTTAACTTGGTTCTAGTTCCAGACAGGTATAAATTAAAGAGTAAGTTACACGAATGCTCTCTATGGTTTGAGATAATTTGCACGTTTGGTCCCTAACTTATTTTTTTAACTCGGAAGGTCCCTACTGTTTGTTATTGCTACACATTTGGTCCCTATTGTTTGTTTCTGTTACGCGTTTGGTCCCTATCTTACGTAAAAAGATAATTATTTAAATAGAGAAAAATGATAGAATAGGTAAGGTAAGGAGAGAGGATGAGATTGAGGGTGTGTTTATTTAAGTAAATTAAAAAATCAAGGTAAAAATAGACTTTTTATGTAAGATAAGGACCAAACGTGTAACAAAAACAAATAGTAGGGACCTTCCGAGTTGGAAAAATAAGTTAGGGACCAAACGCGCAAGTTACCCTAAACCATAAGGATCATTCGTGTAATTTACCCTAAATTAAAACAAGTGTTTAGATAGATTAATTTTTTTTTAAAAAAAATTATAGTTGTGTTGAACTGGAGATAAGTTATTTATGATAAATTACTAGCCCCTAACTTATCAAAACTACTTAGTCGTCCAACATATCTATGAAAATTTTTTTTGATCATTTTGTCAAACACTAAAAATGGTTTATCAGCTTATAGCATTTTGACAATGGATAAATTAATCCAAACATTTTTTAAAAAACTTCTTTCTGATACCATTATAAAGTAATAAGTTAAAAAGCCATAAACACTTTAAATAAGCATAGTCAAACACCCTCTTGGTTTGGTTCTAGGTTTTATAGTTTTTTATAATCTTGTTTAGATTTGGTTGTGACAAAAACGTTATTGACTAGAACACTTATCAAACTCCTATTTCCTTTAAGAAGTTTTATTTTTCATCATATTCATTACAGAAGCAATTGAGTTTTATACTTACAGATTCTTAAAATTGAAAAAACGTAAGTTTATATTTGGCTCATAGTGGTGTTTTTATAAATTTGACTTGTTCAAATCCAGTCACAAGAAGGCGTGTAATAAAAATTTGACTAATTAAATGTTAATAATCTCAATCATTATTATTGACTTATGTTAAATTATCTGATCAAAATTAAACAATATTGTCATAACGATATAATTATGACACCATAAGAATGATACAAACATCAACAATTGAAAGATGACCAAAAGTAACCAAGATTGGTCATTTAAAAACACACACAGAAGCAGAAGCTCATCTATATGTTCTTAACTTCAAATTTTGTATATATTTTTTTGTTAAATATACAATGATGTGATAAACTTCAAACTTCCCATATGAATAATTTCTTTACCTGTCATTTGATCAAAACATAAAAATCAATTTGAATACATATATATATATATATATATATATATATTTTTTACATATATAAAAAAGAACAGAATCTTACTTGCTCAAGTGTCAAAAACATTATAACATTCCACGATCCTAGCCGACCAAAATTTGGGAGGAATCCTTTATAGAAAGCCAGGGCTCCCTGAATAATAATCAAATATTAAAATAGTAATATAATATTATAAAAAGAATCAAAGTAGCAAAAAAAACTTATGAACTAATAATTATCAAATTCGGATACCTCAACGTTTAAGGTTTTAATAATACAATCAAAAGTGCTTTTGTAGATTGAATCTCCCATCATTCTAGACTTCACCTGTAACAATGATAAGATACCATATCAATATTGAATATTCAATTTGAAGCTGAAAACTTTTTTCAAAATTTTTGAAGAAAGCCAATGAATATATATAAATTTTACCACATCAACAGGTGAACCAATCAAAACAGCAAAAAACCCTGCACCTAAACCCGCGAGTAGATGAGTGAATATATTGTCTGTAAACCCTGGAATTTTCAAAACACTCTACAACAACATAGAACAGATAGAGTAAACGTTATGATTAATAAAACTTTAAATGAAATAATAATGTAAGATAAATTGGACCTGTTTGACTTGATCATAGCTAGCAAGTTCTGCAGCATTTATAATGGCATTTCTGGCTATATTTGGGCCTAAACCAGTCCAAAGTGCAACTACTCCTTCCTATTTATGGTGTATTATTATGAGTATAGGAAAAAGAAAATGGTGATTCCAGATGTAAGGAGATTTAAGGAACTGACTTCTTTGATTATTGTGTGGTAGGCATTTAGGGCACCAGTGTAGCGACGGGGTGCGCCAGCTGGCAGTTTACCTTCAGCTTGTAACCGGACTTTCACCAGATCAGTTGGATTAGCCATTGTAATTGCTATAGCACCTGTTTCATGAATAATGGAGCTACAAAATCAACCTCAAAACAAGTATAGAAATAGAGGAAGACATTGAATTTGCAAATCAGTCACCTGTAATCAAAGCAGCAACTATCTTCTGAAACAAGGAAACTTCTCCAAGAATATTACCACCAGCACAAAAAGCCTTAACCTGTATAACCAAAATCTCAGATGTAATACAGAAGCCGGTGTTTTGAACCACACTGGATCAGTCCTCAAAGATGAAGCAGCTTATATGCCGGTTTCCATGAATCACCAAATAACCTAAATACTTGAAACTTACAGGCACATACAGACTGATCCTTAAGCCTCCATATATAAATTGGCGATGTAATCCAGGTATAATACCTTTCCAAAGTGCAAGTAAACCTTCTTCCTTGGCTATAGTAGCAATTGTGCCTAAAAGACCCTTGTACTTAGCTCCACCACCACCACTTTCTTCTCCCGATACTGATCTCTTTTGGAGTTGGAGGCGAACTTTAGCAGTGTCTAGAGGGATTGTACATAACTGCATAATACACACCTCATCCTCAAAAGAAATTCAATGATACTTATAATTCTATCACGTTTATCAAATTAAAATAAGAACAGCAGCATCATACGCATCGACACACATACATCCATCGAAATTGATACACATCTCTAACACTGCAAAATTCGAGAGTGGATATCCTAAATCTAGTAGTAACAAAACAATTTATATTGCAATGCGAGTACATGTGTGAAAGTGAGGATGTATGTAGAGGTGTAGATGGAAAAAGTAAGGTAATGAGGATAAACCTCAGCAAAACAAGCGGCGAATGCGCTGCAGATGAAGGTTTCGGCAAAGGAGATCTCGGTGCGATGGCTGAGATCCGCCATAATTGGAAAGATTAAATTGAACTCCGATGAGTGTATTGATCGTTTGAGAAGTGGATCTCACTTCTTTCATTTATAGTGGCGTGAAATAGGAGCGGTGGTGATTGTCGACGTTCACAAACTGTAGAAGGTACGATTGTGAAGTATTTTAATTGCGCTGTATTTGTAGGTCAATGATATTTGTTCTGCTTCTCCGTTTTTACTGAGGATATTGAATTCTCTTTTTTTGCTTTTTTGGGAGGATTTTATAATGCAGATAGTCGTCGGGTCGAGATCCCGATCCACGATGCGAGGAGACGATGGATCTCACGCTTTTGATTTGCTACTTTTCGTATGGACTAAACTGCACAAATGGTCCCTGTGGTATGTCGAAAATTACCACTTTGGTCCAAAAAAGTTTGGACTAGCACCAGAGGTCCAAAGTTTTCATTTTGTTGCTTGTTTGGTCCAATTTATTTTAAACTTTTTTAAAATACCAATTTTGCCCTTTGTATTTTCTTTTTCTATTTATTTGTATTACAATAATTAAAAAGAAAAGAAAAAAACTCACCTGCATCACTACCCTACCCCTCCCTGCACTTCCCCTTCTCTTCTCTCTCTCTCCCCCTCTCTTTCTCTCTGTGAATTTTCACAAAACGAAACTAACGTCACCACCAACTTCCGGCGAATGGGGGTTCCGACCACCATAGATTATTCTCGATCGGAGTAACACCACCTCTCCATTTCTTTATCTCTCTCAACAACATTATAACTCGATGAAGATAGTAATCCAAAGAACAGATGGTTTGGTCGGAGAAAGAATTTAGTTAGAAACAGAGGTTGGGACATACTAAAGAAGACGAAGGGCAGCGAAGACGTGAAAACCCAGATCGAAGTCGAAGGTGGCTTCATCCTTCAGTAGTTCTGATTTAAAAACCTAGATACACATCATCGTCTTCACACATCGATGGCGCCTTCATCTGGAAACTCGAGCCACAAACTCCGCCTTCGTTTCTCTCTCTTCTTCGGTGAGTCTCGTCCTTATCATATCCTTCTTCTTCTTCTTCGGCGAAAACCATCTATCGTCGACGTCTTTCTTCGTCGAAAACCCTAATCTAGATGAGATAAGGTAGAGGTGCTAGGGTTTCAGAAATTATTGATGGTTTTTATCAAAAATTGGGTTTACAGAGATGGTTTCCCGACGGAGAAGAGGAACTAAGCAGGTGAAAAGATGGTTATCGGTGGTAGTAATCGATTATGGTTTGTTGTATGTAATGTCGGCTTTCAGATTTGCCAGAGGTTGGTGGTGGTGGAGACGATAGGGGTTAAAGGTGGTGGTGACTGACGGCGACGACGGTGGTGTAGTCGGTGATGAAGGGTTCGTGAGAATTACAAAGAACAAACGAAAATGGAAGAATAGAGAGGGAGAGAGAGAGAGAGAGAGAGAGAGAGAGAGAGAAGAGAAAGAGATATTTATTTTTATTTTTATTTTATTTTTTTTAATCTAAAAACTAGAAAAGCAAATAAGAAAAAGGGAAAATCATATTAATAGGGGCAAATTTGTCATTTTATAAAAAATCAGAACATACTGGACAAAAAACGCAACAAAATGAAAGTTTTGGATCACTGGTGCTAGTCCAAACTTTTTTGGATCAAAGTGGCAATTTTCGACATACCATAGGGACCATTTGTGCAGTTTAGTCTTTCGTATGTATCGAAGTATCTATTAAACAAAATGAAGGTCCACCAAAAAGGAAAATTTTGGCTAAAAAGAGTAGAATAGTATCATTTGTTTGTTTTTTTTAATTAATAAAATAAATCTTTTAATAATATAAAAACTAGAAAATGTTTTATCCCCGCTTTGTGGGGACGCATGTGAGGTTTTGCGCGGAGTGATGGGGGCATTGTGTAATTACAAAAGTGTGAAAGCGTGAAATCCAAAAAGTGTAGAGTCGAAACATGGCAATATATTGTAGGACATGTAGAGGGTGTAATTTACAAACTTTCTATTATGTATGAGAGTTTCAAGATATTCTTTTATCATAAGTTTTTAGGAAAATATTTATTACTTGACAATTATCATTGTTACAAAAAGGATGATGTTATGATTTGGATCAGGAAGATTCAATTCATCTCTCATTATGCATAAATTTTCAACCAATATTGTAAAATATATTTTTATCGTTAACATAATACACTATTTAATACAAGAATTGACAAGGTGCTTAAGAATTAACATGGTTAATGAAGACTATGACTCTCCATATACATACAGCAACATGGATTTCAAGACCGCATAGGACTTAAAGTAAAGAAGACCAATCATAATTGAAGATATTTACCTTTCCGAGCTCATTAATTTTTTTATACGGCCTCATTTGTTAGAATGTTAGGAAATAAATCATTCTTGGGACCTTCAATATATTCAACACATGGTAACATAAGGGGAATGTTGCAAATCATATATTAAGCCTTACCGGATAAAATTATACTTCTTATATCCCCAAAAGGTTTCTTACCCTTTTAACCCTAAATCAAGCAAAAAGAATGAATATTAGAATAAAAATTAGTTAGAACCTATATTACAACAATAAGTATCCTCCTTCACAGAGTAAGAATCAAAACCAGTAAGATAGAGGAAACTTGATCAAAACATAGTAGTAGTAGAAGTATTAGTAGTAGTAGTGGTAATAATAATAATAATAATAATAATATAATTTCTTCTGTTAATTTGAAACCTCTTAATCTCAATTTTCGTGACGGGCTGTACAAAATATTCTTGCAGGAATCATGTAACCTAAAACAACAGTTTTTGATTAGCAGAACAATATCTGATGCTAAAAAAATCATAAATCGCCTTTTATAAACAAAATTTTGGTCAACAACATTAAAAAAATCGAAGCAATACAAAGAATTCTAAAGGAAAAAAATAACATCGATTTCAATATATAGTGGATAGAGAAGATACATGTAAATGGACTGAAAGAAGATACAAAAAGGGAGAATTCTTTTATTAAGTAAATTTTCAAAGTAAACTCTATAAAAAAGATGTCACTATGTCATCTCAAAACAGAAACCAAAATTCGAAGGACTTGATACCTACAAAATTTATCATCGGAGCTGAAAGACGAACGGATAATTGGTCTGACTAGCAACTCCATCCGATTTTTAAAAAATCCTAATTGATTAGGGCTTCCAAATCATGAATGGCGGTGCAGAAACATATATGAAATCTTATCAGAAGAAAAGAAATGATTTTCCATTTGAAGATGGCAATGGTTATGGAGAAGTTGAGGTTAGGGCTTTGAGAGGCATGGTCGGAGTGTTCTCCTGTGTGGATTCGATGATCCAAACTAGTTGGCAGGAGAACAAGCGATTTGGGAGAAACATATTATCCTATGGAAGGATGGATATCTCCGATAATCACTGATTCAAGACTGGGAGGTAGAGGAGTAAGGACGTGGCTGTAAACTGGAGTTTATAGTGCATATGGAATCCACGTCATGTAGGGAAACGTCGGAGATCACCGGTGGTTTAGGTTTTGGGGGTGAAGCGGTGGAAGGATCAGGAGAGTTGATTGTGGAAGAATACAGAAGTCTGCTAATTGAGCGAGACAATGTTGAAGATTTGGACCCCTATTGTAACATCCTGTTTATTAAATAAATAAATAGTCAGATTCATGAATAATAGTAGCCCAAAATCAATAATATAGCAAGGTGTTGGTCTCGAGGGTTAATTGTTACAATTTTAGAAGATATGGGTTAAAGTGTAGTTTCGGGACTTATTTTGTAAAGATTTTTAGTAGTCAGGGGGTGTATGATATTATTTGGACTTACAATTGAATAGATTCTTGGGGGGCAGGGACTAAATGGTAATTATGGACCTAAATTGAAAAGGGTTTTGTATAGGAAGGGGAGTTTGGTAACATTTTGATTAAATTTGAAAGAAAATGGAGAAGGATGGGCCATTTCTGTCATTATGGGTTGAAGTTGTAGGAACTAGGTATATAACCCGTCGACTCCTCCGTAACCCTAACCCTAAGTGTCATCGTTCAACCACCAACCTTTCTATCTTCAACCTCCGGTCGTCATCTCCTTGTTGTGCTCGACCCATCGGTGTCTCCGTAGCCGAAGAAGACGTGGACAACGTAGTGGTTGTTGGGAAGAACCACCAAGATCAAGGAGATGCTGCCAAAACCCTAGCCGCCGCCATCGGTTGAAGACTGCCACCTTGTTCCGTTGTCGCATCCACTGCCGGTGAAGAGCAAGGACCGGCGGAATAGGTGTTGAGGCCGTTTGGAAAAGCCTAAAGAGATGGAGCGTCGTTGATGTCGTCACAAAACCTTTTCCCCCTCTAGTTCGTTGCTGCAACACCGCCTTTAGCCACCGTTGTGGCTGCTAGGGTTGTCGTTGCCGTCACCACGCACCACCACGCGAGTGGTTGCATCCAGATTTCCGAGCAAGGGTCCGTGGGTATGTGTCTATTACAGTGAAGGGGTGTTTTTAGGTATTGCTTAGCCGGATTTTTTTATCAAGAAAAGCCACCACCATCAGTGTGAGGTGGTGTATGCCACCATGTGTCACTGTCGGCCACCGCAAGGTGGTTGTGTGTGTGTGTGTGTGTGTTTAGCTTAGCTTAGTATGTGTTTGTGTTATTTTAGATGTTGCATTGTATGATGTAATCGGTACTTTCATTGGTGTGACAACACTGTGACATCCCCATTTTCACAATAAATACGTTTATTAACTTTATCAAACCAAACAAACCCGATTATCCGTTCCCGTTATCCTCACTTTACGTCCCTAAAACATCTAACACAAAGGGACCTAGTCTAAGGGACTTTCATCGGTGTGACAACACATGCTTCGGGGGTTCCTCAGCAATTCATATCAAATAAGGCAACCATGTGGGGGATGGAGTACTGCTGGTGAGCACACAGTTCAAATAAACACATAGTTCAAATAAACATCTATAGGTTGCGAGTCTACTAGCGTTCCACTGTCTAGAATAGTTTGTGGTCATCATTTATACTCCGCTAGATGACTGGATCATCAATAACATCTATAACGAGGTCTCTAATTATTTTATTTGGTCACACAACAACTATAACATCTACCCATGTTTTACCCAACACATTTTGTAGATATAAAATACATATACAGTTTAAATCATTTAAAACATGTATAAAAATATTTCACCCAGCATAGACAGCAAGCATTCAGACAATATGCACACATAGCACGTAATTTATATTAAATACTTCATATCTATGTGTAATATAAAAGTAACTATGCACTCACTT